TGAAAATACTGAGCAGCCAGCAGTTGTAGGATGGAAAGTGGAGATAACTAACAGGTGAACTCAGAGGGAACTAATAGACAGGCCTTGTTGTTTCAGGTAGAACACGTAGTCCAAAACATGCTTAGACTGTCTAAACACTTTTGCTGTGACCATAAGGAGAATCATTTCTACTTTAACAATTATGTGTATCTAGTAGAAAGCTTTCTGATATTCAGGAGTCTGTTTTGTACATTTCCCCAAACACTGGACCTTCCTGAGGCATTAATTATGGAGCATCCAGACCATAAAATGGAGAGTAGTCAGATTGGAATGTAGTAGGTGACCATGGTCCTGGGAATTCAAGTCAGGTTCTGGAGGTAGTGTCATAGGAGCCTGGTGCAGAGGCTCTGCAGACTGGAGAACCAATGCTGGAGAGGCCACGCCAGTACTACGAGGATAATGTGAATCTGATCCTGCTTGAGTTTGAGCAACACCAAGGGAATGAGTGGAATGGAAGGTAAGCATACAGCAGATTGTCTTTCCAAGACAGCAGAAAGGTGTACATCAGAGATCCCTGAATGACTTGCCCTTGAACAAAAGAGTGGGCATTTACTATTGTGGTGAGTAGCAAATAAGTCTATGTAAGGGCCCCCAGTTTTGAAAAACAAATCTCACAATATCTGCCTGAAAGACCACTCATGAGCTCTGCTGAATGATCTGGTCAGGTGATCCACCAAGCTGTTCTGAACACCAGGCAGATTGGATGCTTTGAGATTAATTGCATTGGTGATCCAAAACTCCCAAAGCTGTATCGCCTCTTGATCAAGAGAGTCCTACTTGGCCCCTTCCTATCTATTCACATACAACATTGCTGCAGCATTCTCCATGAGGACATGTAGGGCCTCTCCCTTGATGTAAGGGAAAAAAGCCCAATAGGCCAGATGAATGACTCACAACTACCGCACATTTATGCAGAGAGTTAAAATTTGACATAGTATCTGAAGAAGTGAGGTTCTTACCCACGAAAGCTTATGCTCCCAATACTTCTGTTAGTCTTAAAGGTGCCACAGGACCCTCTGTTGCTTTTTAAAAATTTGACATGACCACAGAACTTGAGTACATAGGTTCCCTAAGCGAGCTTCTCAAACTACAAATGAAGTGTCCATAACCAGAGTCAATATGGGTAAAAAAGGGGCAAAGGAAATTTCCATAAATACATTAGCTGGATCCACCCACCAGTCGAAGGAGGCTAATACTCCTTCAGGTACTCGAATCAGCATATCCAATGGGTGACGAGCTAAGGGGTATACTGACTTTAACCAGCTCTGTAACTTTCTAAGATGAAGTCTGGCATGCAGGAGGCCATGTGTCCCAGAAGTCTGAGGCAGTTTCTTATTGTTGTGGTTAGATGGGATTTTAGGTCTGTGGAAATGGTTAACATTGAAATCTGTCTTAAGGTAGGAACGTGCTGGCTACTGTAGAATCCAAAACTGCCCCTATAAGCTTTATCCTCTGAACTTGAGAGAAGACTGATTGTCCAGGTATGGAAATATTTGCACAACTGCTTTTCTTAGGAAAGCAGACACCATTGCCATGCATGTTGTAAATGCTCTTGAGGCTGCAGAGAAGCCAAAGGGCAGGACTGTAAACTGATAATGACTATTGTTAACCAGAAATTTTAGGAATCTCCTATGATTTTGAAGCATAGGCACATGGAAATATGCATCTTCAAGTCAAGGGCAGCATACTAATCTCCAGATGGAGATAACCGAGGCCAGGGTGACCATGTGAAATCTTATTGTCTTTATATATTTGTTCAGATATCTCAGGTCTAAAATGGGCCTGAGACCTGCTTTTGCCTAAGGAATCTGGAAGTGAATAAAACTTCTTCCCTCACTGGAGAGGGGGAACCTCCTCTATAACTCTCAAATGGAGGAGAGATTGGCCTCCTGGAAGAGATCAGCATTGCAAGAGTGGTCCCTGACAAAGGGGAGTGGGATGGAGTGATAGAAATTAACTGTAAGGTGTTTCCTGTTCCACAATACTTAGAACACGTCAATCCATGGTAATATGGGCCTGAGCTCATAGGAATTGGGATAAACTGTTGGAAAAAACGGTCAGGAGAAACTGGCACAAAACTAACTGGTACTCTGTCCTCGACAACACAATCAAAACAGACTGCTTGGAATTTCCCAGGTGTCTGGAAGAACCTGTTGCAGAAGAAAACTGAAGAAGTGGAGGTCTCCTGTTATTTTTCCCCTTTTTTTGTGGAATGGTCAGGTTTTCTAAGCTGGAAAAGCAGGTAATGTTGGTAAAACTGAAGGCAGAATTGTTTCCTTTCTTCTTAGGGAAAGGAGTGTAAATTCCCAGTGATTTCAGCATGGCCCTTGAGTCTTTGAGACTGTGAAGCTTCTCGTCAGCCTGATGTGAGAAGAGGGTAGGATTCTCAAAGGGAAGATAGTCTGCTGGACTTCATGTAGGAGACCCAACAACTGAAGTCATCAACACCTGCTCATTGTTAAGGCTACAATTTAGTCATTTTTAGTAAAAGTCGTGGACAGGTCACAGGCAATAAACAAAAATTTCACAGCCTGTGACCTTTTCTATAAATACTCCTGACTAAATCTTAGCTGGGGGGCCCGGGGCTGTGGCTGCTCTGGGGGGGGGCTTCTGGGGCGCTGCTGTCCCCGGAGCCAGCAGCTGGAGCCCGCTAAGCAGCAGCTCATGCAGCCATCCCTGTGGCTGGCTGCAGGACTGCTCCAGCAGCAGCCGGTGTGGCAGTCCCCAGGGCCACCTGAACCTCTTCATGAGAGCTAGCCTGGTGTCTGCTTGAGGATCTAGTCAGAGAAGGAACCAGGAAGATCTGATGGTGGTGATGAAACCCCATGGGTTCCAGTACGGCCATTGGACCCCACCCTCTACCAGTCCACGGAACTGGGTTCCTGGACCACCGTGGGACATCTGCTGGATACCAGGAGTGAAATCTTTGTGATGAAGGTGAAGGTAGTCTTCTATCCCAAGAGCGAGCGGCTCTTATGCCTACCTCCAACTCCAGGGAGGACCCTGAGTTGCCAGACCATTGAGGTGCAGTGCCAAGATCTGGTACTGTGTCTCCAGGGACACCAGCCTGTGAGGAAGTGCTGGATGGTCTGAAGAAGTCAGCCACAGTACTGAGGGTTGGACCCATCTTGCAGGTAAGTCCAAAGATGAAGCCTGAGGATCAAGCAGTACTAGATAGTTTGTCTCCTGCACTGCTGGATCTGGAACAGACAGAGCAGGTCCTGTGCTGCAGCATATGCTTCTGGTATCATAGGTACTGAGAGTTTTCCCTGATGCTGCTATTGTTGTTGCATCAAAGGGTCCAGTACCACAGTGGGCCAGCATCAATAACGCAGGCAGTACTGAGGAGAGTCTCTTCCCAGGACACTCTGCCTGTCCTCCAGCTTGTTTGCTCATACATGGTATTGGGATCTCAATCTTTGGAGGCTCCTTTGAGGAATATTGTCTGTGCTTCTGCCTTGGCACTGAAGAAGGGGATTAGTGCCAAGTTTTGCAATGCACTTCTAACCAAGACAGAAGTACTTGGTGCCTGAGCAGGACAATTCAGAACGTGGATGCAGGGCGGCCTTCATAAGAAGTTGTTGCAGTCTCACCTCCGTATCATTTTTCTTCTGGGGCTTGTGGTCTCCGCAGATCTGACAAGACCCTCACTAAGATACTTGAGGCACATGGAATGAGGGTCGCTTACTGGCACAGACTTCTTGCAACCGTTACACATCATACGCCAGGTACCAGGTGTCAGCACCCAGAACAAGCAGGAACCGACACTCTAAGAAAACATAACAAATGAAACTTACACCAAAGTACTAAATATGAAAATGAATACCTCTAACAATATACAAGAGAGAAACAAATTCCCTGGAAAGGGAGAACACTTGCAGAAGCAAGCTACATGCTCCAAGCACCAATCATAGTTGGTAAAAAGGAACTGAGGAGGATCTGGGGTAACTCCACCCTTTATACCATCATGGAGCAGCACAAGGCAGTGGAGAGTGAATGTTCCACCCTGACAGGTACTGCTAAGTGAAAAAATTCTGACTCTGGAGCACTGGACATGCACATGCCTGAAGTGGAATGGACATGCACAATCACTTGAAGAACTGACAGAGGGTCTGGCAGCTCTGCCCCTTTATACCATGAGCTGGCAGCATGAAAGTGCAGTGGGCATGTATGCCATCCTATAGGTACTGCTATAGGAAAAATCTCTCCAGCTTCAGTGCACTGGGAGTACACACCCCTGAAGTGGAATTGACATGTGTAATCACTTGATGAAGAATAAAGGTTACAGGTTATTTTTTTTCATCCCAAATAGAGTGTGAATCTTCCTGACTTAGAAATATGGAGCTGTGGTAATATTTTACACACACACACACACACACACACACACACACACACAGACACCCCTTGAAAGATCCCAAAGTACTTTGAAAACTATACATTCAAATTGGAGATTTGCCATAATCCTTCAGTAAGTGGCAGCGTTTAGTTGTGCTGCCCCAGAAGCAGACCATGAAGCAGACTGGAACTCAGAGCCACAACATGTCCCTAATTTCTCCCTTGCTCTGGCAGAGAAGTAATCTTTACCAGTCCTTTACATTGTGACGAATGCTTCTCCTTCTGCACTGACTCAGCTGTGCTGGCTGGTTAGCTCTACGCACCATCTGCACAGAAGGGCAGTAGTGGCTCCTTCTCCCCTCTGAAGTGCTACTTATAACATGGATAGCTAGTGCAGAGGAATAAAAGAGGAGCTTTATGTCCCCTTACTCACCTGCAGGGAAACATAAAGGAAGTAACAATCTTGCCCTAAATACAGACAAATCCAATGAAATGCAGGTGGAAGGTTAAAAATCAACTGGAACAACATATTGCACAACAATGGAATCATGGGAAGTCTAATGATATATTAAAACTGTAAATGTTAACACTTGAGGAATACTAACAAGCTTTTTTAGTCAACTAACCTATCCATACATGGCTTTGCATGTGAAATTTCTGCTGGATCTTCCACTCTTCTCCACTTCACTGTTGCTTCTGTTTCAACATTTTCTATCATTTCAATTCTATCCTTGACCTTTAAAATATATCAAACTTTAAATGTTTCTGTTCCTTTTATTTTTAATATAAAACCTCATTTTTCAAGAAAAATATAAATATAAGCTAATCATTTTACTTTTACTGATTCAGCTTTGTATTTTTTATAAATGTCTGGCTCTTTATTTTTAAATAGAAATATTAATTTAAATTTAAACATCAAACGTCAATATTACTTCACAGAACTTTCAAAATATAATACATGATGAAAACCCAGAAACCATTAATGTACAAAATACTAAGCTCTCTAGCCAAACAAAAGACAAGACACTCCAGACAACCATGTTCAAATCTGCTTAACACAGAGAGTTACTAGGATATGGGATTTTAGAGATGGTGGGGACAAAGAGTAAGGGCCTGACTTTTAAAGTCTTTCAGGTGCCTAAAGATGCAGATAGGCACCTAGTGGGATTTTCAAAAGCACATGTGCATTGATTTCAAAGTGAGTTAGGTGCCTAAATACTTCTGAAAATCCCACTAGGCATGTTTCTGCATCTTTAGGCACCTACGTACCTTTAAAAATCTGTCCCTAAGGTCCTACTCCTACAAAGCACTTCAGAATTAGCTTAATTTTTTCCTCTAATGTACAACATACTTAGTATTTAGGAAAGAACTTCATTACTTTATTTTTAAAATATTAATGAAAGGCAGATTCAACTCATGGAGGAAAACCATTTAACAGATCAATTTAGAGTCAATATTGGACTTGTGTAGTAATCTTTGTACAAAATTTGCCTTGTGAGATACAATTTAAAATTAATAACTCACTGGTCAATAATGTCATCGTGAAATGTATGTGGCAACATTATATGTAAAGGTATAAACATAAACTGAAATTAGGTCTGACGTGTTTACCAGACAAGTCTGAGTAAACCAGTTTCTCAAAGTCAAAGGACAAGCTTATACCTCTAGCCAGATGTCAAAGTTGATGAGCAATCACCTGTCAAGAGGCTATTCTTTGGCAAGAAAAGGGGGGCAGGAACAAACGGATCTGCATTTTAGCAAACAACAGCATGGAACCTCTTTCACCACTAGTCTCCTTGTCTCTGTCCTCATAGCAGGAATGAAGTGTATCTAGGGGTAACCCTCAGGAAAATGCATGTCAAAAGGGGACTGGACTATAACAGGGAAGAACAAAAACACCCCAATGTAACTCTCCCTATCCACCTCTCTCTTTTTCACCTAAAACAACAAAAGAAACAGCCGTTGGACTTTGGGAGCAGATCCTGGCCTGAGAATTTAGTCAGCAAAGTTACTGGGAGCATATGGTAAGGGACTGCACCTTGAATCAAATCTAGTTTAAGTATTAGTACTAAAAAGCATTTTATCTTTATTTCTCTTGCAAATATTTCTGGCTTTAGTGCCTTATACTTGTACTCATTAAAAACCCATATCTTTGTAGTTAAATAAACTTGTTTTATTCTTTAATCAAAAATAATCCCATGGTGTGTCTACACTGAATTGCATGGGTAACTACATTTAAAGTAGCAAACTGTTAGATACAGAGGGGCAACAGACCTCAAATACCTGAACTGTCCAAGATAGGGCTGGACAGTGCAAAACATATATTTTGGAGGGGAGGGGAAATTTGTTTCTAGGAGTATGTTGCAGTCAACCTGCAAGTAGCAACCAAAGCTGCTGGAAGCCAGAGTGTGGATGGTGTGCTGCTGACAAGCTGCTGGAGTCAGAGTTGCTGGACCAGGGCAGTGGCTATACACAGACACTCAGGGTGTGACTTGCTGGAAGGCTGACTGTGAGCAACCCAAGCTGGAAGCTACAAGAGCAAAGCATTGTGAGGCGCCCGAGGTTGCAGAGCAGGGGCAACCCAGCCCCGCACTGGTCTGGATTACAACCCGGAATATCAGACCATTGAAGACAATGGGTTTTGGATCAGGCCTCATTTGCTTAAAGGTAGACACATGCTAAAGTGTCTTGTTGGACTGGGACCTAAAAGGGGAGAGATATGGAGTTGTTGGGGTCGGAGGGTTGCAATGTAATAATTCCAAGCAGTATGTTTTTCTACATTCCCTTCTCTAGCCCATGTACCATAAAACTCAAAGAAAACATTACTTACAAAGTTACAAGCATCCGTATTTATTTCTTTTCCTGTAATATATAATACAGGAAATATTTAGGAAAGAACTGCATTACTTAATTTTAAAATATATTTACTGCAGCACAGCTTAATTTCATGGAATTAAACAAGCAATTTAGAGTAAATATAGGATTTACGTACTACGTGCTGAAACTGAGAAATTGGCATATAGTCTGTTTGGGTGAAAGCAGTCTTTTGGAATTAGAACTCTAGCCGATAAAGCAGGGGTGGGCAAACTTTTTGGTCTGAGGGCCACATTGGGGTATGGAAATTGTATGGCGGACCATGAATGCTCACGAAATTGGAGGTAGAAGTGTGGGAGGGGGTGAGGGCTCCGGCTGGTGGTACGGGCTCTGGGATGGGGCTAAAAATGAGGAGTTCACGCTATGGGAGGGGGCTCCAGGTTGGGATACGGGCGGTGGTGAGGGCCCTGGAGTGGGGCTGGGGATGAAGGGTTTGGGGTGCAGGCTGGGGCTCCAGGCTGGGACCGAGGGGTTCGGAGGGTGGGAGAGGGATCAGGGCTGGGGCAGGAGTTAGAGTACGGGGGAGGGGTGTGAGGGCTCCTGCTGAGCCTCATCCCCCCACACTCAGAACCCGCCCGATGAGCCCCACTCCTCCTGCACCTGGACTAGCCACCTGCACCCAGATCCCCACCCCACCAAGCCCCAACCTGGATCCCCACCCCCAGAGTCCCATTACCATTGCACCCAGAACCCTTCAACCCCCTGTGCATCCAGATTCCCTTTGCACCCAGATCCCCCACTAAGGTGCCTGCACCCAGATTGCCCCACAAAGAACCCTCGCAACCCACACCTGGATCCCCCCACACTAAGCCACTCCACATTTGGATCCTGCCTTGCTGAGCCTACCTGGTGCACTTGGCACGGAGGGGCAGGACCCTGGAGTGCTTCTGGGGTAGGCCCCATCCTTGCACTGTGTCAGGGTTGGGTGCAGCCTCCTCACTGAGTCCATGTTGGGGGGGAGGGGTAGCTACACAGTGATCTCCCACCTCTGTGCAGCCAGTGGCTTGTGCTCCCCAATGCCATGCTGGAGCCTCCATATTTCTTTGACAATAAAATTTGCAGAATTTTAAAATATTGCGCACAGAATTTTAACTTTTTGGCGCAGAACACCCTCAGGAGTAAACTGTTATACACCTAGACACCCAACTCCTACACAGTGGCTAGGTGGAAGGCAAGGTCAGGAAAAAGCAGCAACTGTCTCAACTAGTATTTCATGGGAAAGCCACCTTAGAATAGGAAAAGTCAGTTGGTTTCACATGTGACAATTGTGTCATGCTATAATAGTATACATTTCTTTTCAGTACTTCTTTAACCATAACCTTACAAACTTACCAACAAATATACTTTGCTGAAATGAATTGAGTTCAACATACATAGTGCAAACATGAGGATATGGAGCAAGAAATGTATCCCCATGTTTGAATCTCAATTTTGATACTCTCTCCCATTTACTTAAATCTGGATAGTGGAGTTAAGGCTTTAAAATGTAACATTAAAATTATATAAGATGAATAAAAATCATGTGGCTAAATTTCCATTCACTGCTTCAAAAGTGTACCTTTATAAACCTATATAAACGTATGTACCATACTCTTGTATGTTAACTTATCTGTGTATTTATAAGAAAAATTCTATACGATCAACATTTTTTTCTTTTATCAGTGGTTTGTGTTTTCACCCCAGATTCAAGCAGCTTCTTTACTAGGCCCTAGTCCTAAAATCCTCACTCAAAGTAATATACCCGGCACCTCCATGAAGACAATCGGAATAAACCCTTGAATGTTCTTCATTGAAAGTAACACATTTACATTTTTAATTAAAGTACCTTTCATAAGTACACTATCAAATGTACAGAATTGACTTGTTCAAAATGTGATTAAAAATAGTTATTTACCTTATAACAACTGGTTCTTCAAGATATTTGTCCATGTGGATCCTGCTCTGGTTGTGCATGTGCCCCAGTCATGCGAGATGGGATTTTAGCCAGAAGTGTCCACATACCTCCCCAGCCCAAGGCGAAAAAGGCACTGGTCCTAAACATCACTTAGTTACTTCATCAGCACAGACTCTCCATGCTATATAGGACTCTGTAGTAGTGACGAAGGAGGTAGGGTCATGGGATCCAGATGGACAAAACATCTAAAAGACCACTTTACTTTACGTTGAGGAACTGGTCTTCAAGTATTTGTTCATGTGGATCACACACCTGGTGATTAGCTAGAAGTCAGATCTAGCAACCCGAACCATGGAGCAGTGAGTACTGTGACAGACCCAGACCAGTGGGGTACAGGAGTGTGGTAGAGGGCAAATATACTGGTCACTGGATGAGTAGTTTTCTGTTCCCTGAGTGACCAGAGCAGGGGCTGCACTAGAGTAATCAGGAACCTGCTAGAACCAGTTAAGGCAGGCAGGCTAATTAGGACACCTGGAGCCAATTAAGAAGCTGCTAGAATCAATTAAGGCGGGCTAATCAGGGCACCTGGGTTTTAAAAGGAGCTCACTTCAGTTTGTGGTGCGAGTGTGAGGAGCTGGGAGCAAGAGGAGCAAGGAGCTGAGAGGGAGAGGGTGTGCTGCTGGAGGACTGAGGAGCCCAAGCGTTATCAGACACCAGGAGGAAGGACCTGTGGTGAGAATAAGGAAGGTGTTTGGAGGAGGCCATGGGGAAGTAGCCCAGGGAGTTGTAGCTGTCATGCAGCTGTTACAGGAGGCACAATAGACAGCTGCAGTCCACAGGGCCCTGGGCTGGAACCCGGAGTAGAGGGCGGGCCCGGGTTCCCCACAAACCTCCCAATTGACCTGGACTATGGGTTCTTCCAGAGGGGAAGGTCTCTGGGCTGTTCCCCAACCCACATGGTGAATCTCTGAGACAAGAAAAATCCGCCAATAAGCGCAGGACCCACCAAGATAGAGGAGGAACTTTGTCACAGTACCTAAGAGAGTACCTAATTGCATAAGGACTGCATAAGTTGGCTAAGCAGTTTCACCCTCTGTATTAAAGCCCACTCACCTGGAGTCCAAGCAGCTACATTTGCATGCTTGAGGAATGTTCCAATCTCAGAGATTTGTAGAGGGGCAATGTGGAATTCAGTGTAAGTGGCTTGAATTTCACCCACCCTCCAAGCAAAGGTAATGGGCATCAGGAATGCCATCTTAATGGAGTAGTGATTCAAAGAGCAGATTCAAAAGGACGCTCCATTAAGATCCTAAGGAGGAGGAAAAGGTGGTTCTTGAGCTAGATGAAAAATGTGAATTAGACCTCCAAAACTAGGGGGTGTGAAAATATAATGTAACCCTGAAAGGAAAGGTGGCGGGCTGATATTACAGCTAAGTGGACTCTAATCGAGCTAATGGAGAGAATAGATTGCTTCCAGAAGAATAAGTAATTTAAAATTTGAGAGATAGGAGGTGATACTGAATGGCCCAAATAGAGGACCTTTGCCTCTTAGATTTATAAAAGTTGACTCAGACACTTTTCTGCTTTGTATCAAAGTGTCCTGCACTTGAGATGAGCAGCTTCTGTCAGTAACATTCAACCAGCCAACATTCTGGGTGTCAGATACAGAAATGGAGATTCAGGGTGCAGGATCTGGCCTCAATTCTGAGAGATGATGTCCATCAGGTTTGGTAGGGCAATTGGAGATTGCATCAACAAGGATACTAGGTCTGAATACCAAAACTGCCTGGCCCATGGTAGTTCTATATTATTAATGAGGCCTTATCCTATTTTAGTTTCCTGAGAACTTTGGGAATTAATGGAACTGGTGGAAATGCTTACATCAGCCCTCACATCAGAAATGTATCCAGTAGAGAACCCTGGTGAGACATCCTCTGAACAAAACAATTGCTACTTTTTATTCAAGTTGGTGACAAAGAAGCCTATGTCAGGGATACTATACTTGAGGACAATTCTTTAGATGACTGAATCTTTGAGAGACTATTCATGATTGTTCAAGTACTTCCTGCTGAGATGGTATACTAAGCTATTCTGAGTTCCTGGTAGATGTAGAGCTATGGGAGTAAATGAATACTGTATGCACCAGTTCCACAGATTAATCACCTCCTGACAGAGAGGGGATGATCTTACTCCTCCTTGCCTATTGATATAACACATGGCAGTAGTATCGTCTGTCATGATTTGAACTGTTGATCCTTGAAGAAACAGGAATACTTTGCATGCTCAGCAGATGGCCTTTGATCTCCAGAACATTTACTTGAAAGGAATAGTCTCGAGCACCAAATGTCTTGTGTCTGAACGTGCTCTAAGTGAGCCCCACAACCTTGCTTGGACACAACCCTCACCAAGATTTTGGTAGGAAAGAGTGAAGAAAGTTATCCCTTTGCAAACTTGCTCTGGGTCCATCCACCAGTGTAGCAAAGATAGAATTTCCTGAGGAACTGACACCTACAAGTCCGGATCGTGCATGCTGGGTTAATAAACTGACTTGAATCATCCCTAAAAAGGGTGAATGTAAAGTCTGGGATGTATAGTCACAGAAATATGGGAGGTAACATGCTCTAGAAACCTGAGACACTCTCTTGCTGAAGTCCTCAGGTGACTGTAACTTTATGATGAGGTCCACCATATTTCAGAATCAATCCTATGGATGTTATGCTTTCACTGATTTTCAGTTCAAGAATGCCCAGTGGTTTGAGCATTGGCCTGCTAAACCCAGGGTTGTGAGTTCAATCCTTGATGGGGCCATTTAGGGATCTGGGGCAAAAATCTGTCTGGGGATTGGTCCTGCTTTGAGCAGGGGGTTGGACTAGATGACCTCCTGAGGTCCCTTCCAACCCTGATATTCTATGATTCTATGAACCAAACTATCATAATCCTTTGTAGGTAAGCCAAAGTCCCAAGTGTCCTGTGTTTATAATTCTTTGTATATAAGATGAATGTTAGCTGATCATAGTGATTTGTGTTAAACTAATGATCAGGAAAATAATGTCTGTAATCAATCAGTAAGACTGTACTTAATTAACCATTTTGTTTTTACTCTGTCTTAGCTGTCCTAGCCCAAATAGGGACCACTTGTAACTGATATGGGGCAGGTTTTTTCTGTGATTAATAAGATAAGCTATCAAAAAATGCTTTTAGCTTATTATGTAAACCAGATATCATGAAAAGAGTTTCATGGTCAATAGATCATTTTTAACTCTTATCTGTAAACACATATAGCATATAAAGGGATACCTGTTATTATAGATGCATGTTGTCATGGATAAAATTCATAAAGGATGTTCATTTTGTCAATTACTAATTGTATCAATTACAAATATTTATGGACAAGGAACATGTGGTTTAGGAGGTGTGTTCTGTAATCAATGTAACAGCAAAACATTAATATATAGATTAATGTCTAAGCATTAAGATCTAATTGTGCTCATGCATTGTCCCAGTAGGGATAAATTAGTTATAAATATCATTGGTTTATTGATTCAAAATAAGATCAAGCATAAGAAAGGATTTTTTCTTTTTTCTAAACTAGTATATAAGAGGTGAGATAAAGGAAGTTAGTCAGAAGTGAACTAAAGTAAAACTTCCATTATTTCTCCAGTTACAGAGTTGGTATGTATGTTTATTTTCTCTATTAAGTTTTGCTTAACTGTTTTACTTAAATAAAACTTTAACTGAGTTAGTTGTTTGACATCATGACATATTAAATCTGAACACACAACAGCCCCTATTAACTCCACTGTATGAGCCGGGGTAAAACAAGATTTTTCACAGTTTACTTTGCGTCCTTGGGTGGTAAGTAGGTCAAGAATTTTGTTTATTCAGTAAGTTATTTGTCAAAGAGATTTGCCTGGGGTCAGCCAATCATGGTGATATGGATAAATGTACTGTCCTTCTATTCTTAGATGAGCTGCTACATTATGCTAGATATTTGGTAAACATTCTTGGTCCATGAAAAGTCCAAACAGTAGAATCTTGTATTGGTACACCTCTACCCTGATATAACGCGGTTTGAAATAACGCGAATACAGATATAACGCAGTAAAGCAGCGCTCCGGGGGACGGGGCTGCTTTACCTCGTTATATGTTACTGCAAGCGGTTCCTCTGCGCCCGCCACTTGCTGTGGCCCTCCCCGGGGCCCCCCTGCCCCAGCTCACCTCCGCTCCGTCTCCTCCCACAAGCATGCCGCAGCTCCGCTTCTCCCTCCCAGGCTTGCTGCGCCAATCAGCTGTTTGGCACGGCAAGCCTAGGAGGGAGGAGAAGCGGAACTGCGGTGCGCTAGTGGGAGGAGGCAGAGCGGAGGTGAGCTGGGGCAGGGGGGCCGCAGCAAGTAAGGGGGGGCGCACAGAGGAACCGCTCCCCGCCCCAGCTCACCTCCACTCTGCCGCCTCCTCCTCTTCCCACAAGCACGCCGCTCAGCTCCGCTTCTCCTCCCTCCCAGGCTTGCCACGCCAGTCCGCGGCAAGCCTGGGAGGGAGGGGGCAGAAGCGGAGCTGCGGCGCACTCGTGGGAGGAGGCGGAACGGAGGTGAGCTGGGGTGGGGTGGCCCCGGGGAGGGCCGCAGCAAGTAACAGGGGGCGCAGAGGAACCACTCCCCGCTAGGAAAGTCTCTTTATAAGAGTAAATTCTCAAATAAAAATTCTGCAACAGAAGCCAAACATAGGGAGAGATCCTCAGCTGATGTAAGCTGCATAGCTCTCTTGACTTCAATATTGATTTATGCCAGCTGAGAATCTGGCCCATAAATTCCACATACCAATAATATAAATTAAACAAGCTCCCATACATAGGCTCACTGAATTTATTTTGACACCAAGCAAAGGATACACGGAAATATAGTAAAGTGTTCTGTAGCAAACAGATGTAAATTATCAAGATTTCCAATAATTATTCGAATGGGTTTCTAAAAGATTTAAAAAAACAGGGAAGGATATTAAAATATTAACAGTATATGCAAATTTCTATGTGAGTATAGGTTTTTTGTTTTGTTTTGTTTTTGCAGCTGGAGGTAGGTGGAGCCCAGATTTGAGTCCTCAAACCAGGCCAAGGCAGAACATCTGGCATATGGCACTACCTGAGGACCGAAATGCTTTAGTTAAACTAAAGACATTGGGCTCAGCATAAGAGTGTTAGGGCATTAAATTCCACCCAATGATATGCAGGTCAGATTAGATGATTTGATGATCCCTTCTGGCCCTAAACTCTATGAAACTATAGAAATTCCATCTCCCTGCCATGGGTGGTAAGAAGAAACTGAGGGCTGCTCTGCCTTTTATGCCCTCCAAAGAAAGGTACAAGGTAGTGCAAAGCACAGGTGAGGCCTCAACCAAAGCTGCTGGTCAAGAAAATTCAACCTCACATGCATGGAGCAGAGGCACAACAGAAGCAGAATCCATATGGATAAATACTCAAAGAACACTGCAATTTCAGGTGTTGCTAATATTTACTTTTGTGCATTCCAGTGTTTCTCAATCATTGGGGTCATGGCCTGACATCCTCTCCCCCCAGTGAGATCACAAAAGGTAATGGAAGTTTTCATTACAATTCTAAAACAAAGAAAATAAAATTTTGAGAATAACTTTAGGTGGCCAAAACCTTAAAAGTTTGTGAGATCAAATGTATTAGTAAAGGCTGCATTATACAAGCTTACTGTTACCATGGCATGTTTTTACTTTAAAATGTAAAGAGTTATAAAAATTATTGATTTCAAATAAGGGGCCACCACCCTAGAAAAAGATTGAAAAGCACTGTGTGCACTCAAATAATAATTCTGCAACTGAAGACAAACATAGGGACAGATCTTCAGCTGATGTAAACTGCACAGATCCATTGACTTAAACATTCATTTATGCCAGCTGAGGATCTGGCCCATAAATTCCACATAGCGATAATATAAACAATTTCCCACAGATTGGCTCACTGAATTTATTTATTTTGACACTGAGCAAAGGATACATGGAAATATAGTCAAGCGTTCTGTAGCAAATGGATGTAAATTATCAAGATTTCCAATGATTACTCGAATGGCTTCCTGAAAGATTAAAAAAAAGAGGGAGAAATATTAAATATTAACAGTATATGCAACTTTCTACTGTTGACTTAATTTTAACAGTGTGGGGACATTTTTGTTTTATGAGTCTGTTGGTAAATATCACTGGTCACAGGTTCCTGAAGATGCCCAAAAGCCCATCAGACCTGCAGGATGATAAGCAGCTGATATACACAGAATACCGCAACCAGTTCCTGATCAAAGAGTAAAACAACTGAGATTTCACCCCAAAAGAGGCCCAGAATCTGAGGTGGGTTCACTGAGAAAGACCAGAAAGGGAAGACAGGTGCAGCTAGCTCCATGAACATGACAATTTCTATTTTTTAGATGTATTTTTCAGGTGTATTTCTATATTTAAGTTGGAACCTTAAAACTTTGCATTTACAGGCTCACATTTGTGGTTTGGATGAAAACTACAGTATCTTAAGTTTCTTAACTGGTAATATATTTGTTGTCAACCTCAATCTGCAGATCAAAAAAGTGTTTTTCTCTGGGAATATTTCATTTGTCAGAATACTATTACCCCGTAATGAACAAAATATTTATTGAGAGGAGCACCCAGTGTAAAATTTAGATAACCTACCTCTAATTCCTTGGCAGTACTTTCATTATTGTCTATATCATCACTGCTGTGAAACAAACAAAAAATATATTTAGCCTCACAAAATGAAAGACAAGATGGAGCTTCAAGCACTAATTATTTCCATACTGATAAAATGTCTCAGAGGAATCTGATTTCACATGGAAAATACTAAGCAGATACAAATGAATTCTTAAAAGGTGAAAGAACAGTTATTTACCTCACAGTAACTCTGGTTCTTCAAAATGCGTTGTTCTCAAGGATTTCACTCTTGGCATGACTGCACCCAATGCACACAAGGTCGGCTTTTTTTTGGCCACTAATGTCCACTGGGACCGCAACCCCTCCCCAACTGAGGGGAAAAAATTCAGGGTGGGTCCAACCATCCCTCAGTTCCTTTGCCAACACAGAATCTGAGAGAAGTAGGACTCCGAAGTAGCAGAGAAGGAGAGGGGTGTTGTGGAACCCATATATCATATATCAACATATATCAAAGAACCACAGTTACTGAAGGATAAGTAACTGTTTGTTCTTCTTCAAGTGAATGTCCATCCACATGGATTCCACTCTTGTTGTCTAACAGTTATCTGTTTGCTTGCAGGTGGGTTCTAGGAGTCCTACTTAAACAATGCCTGCAGGACAGCCATACCAAAGGAGGCATCCAATCTGGAAGCTTCTGCCAAGGAACATTGTCTTGTAAAGGTATGGACTGAAATACATGTAGCTACCCAGCAGATTTCAGACATGGGCATTTTTCAAACAGGCAACAGAGGCTACCTGTGCTCTAGTGGAATGAGCTTAATGTGGCTAACCGGATCTATTCTGACTAGCTTGTAGCATGTTCTTATACAGGTAGAGACCCTCTTTGATAACCTCTGAGATAATACTGCTTGACCCTTAGCTCTATCAGCAAAGGCCATGAAAAATCTAGGTGTGTTCCTGAATGATTTTGGCCTGATAAAGTTGTCTGACAATGCCCTTACTAAATCAAGTGTACGAAGTTTAGTTTCCCTTGCTGTTGAGTGAGTTTTGGGGAGAAAACTGGGAGATTGATGGATTAGTTCATTTGAAATGTTAAAACAACTTTGGAATGTGTCCTGAGAGTAACCCTGTCTTTACAAAACGCTGTATAAAGGGCCATGAGGGCCTGCATCTGCCCTATCATTCTAGCTGATGCAATGGCTACTAAAAAGCATTATTCATTGATAGGTAGTATAGACAGATGATTAGGGAACATGTTGCTAAGATCTCAAAGGGAGATTGTTTGATGTCAAGGGAAAGTATTGAGATGCTTAAATAGAATACCTCTTCCAGCTTAGCTTTATAAGTCAGTCTGGTTCAGGGTTTCTTGTTTTGGAGCAGAATATTCCAAACTTAATCTGAACAGCTTCTTTTAGTTTATGTCATCCAGCCAGTATCCAGTCTTTCAGTTATAAGGAAGCTGGGTCCTGATGCAAGATCCCAGATGTTGTTCTGGGAGACTGTCAGGCAGAACTAGTAGGGTGATGGAGGGCTGTGCTGAAAGGTTTTTCAGATCCCAATACCAGAAGTGGTTGGCCTATATTGTGGTTATCATAATCGTCTATCCTGCATCTTATCTCTATTTCCTCAGAACCCTCGGCATCATGGAGATCAGTGGAAAGGCATACACCAACCCTGATATCCAAGGAATGAAAAAGGCATTTATCAGGAAGCCTGGGCTTGCACTCTCCCCGGAACAGAATGTTGACACTTCTTGTTCTGGTCTGTGGTACAAGTCTATTTCTGGGCATCCTCATTTGCAAAAGATGTTCTGAAGGTTTGATTGTTTGATAGACCACTCCTGGTTGTCTAAGAAGTGCCTGGTGAGTTGATCAGCTTAGGTGTTTATAAGGAAGAGAAGGTGCAAAGCAACTGGTATGCTTTGCTTTGGAATGCACCAATTCAATAGTCACATGGTTTCCTGAGAGACTGGAGATGACCATGCTAGCTGTGGTGTTGTCTGTCAGCACATGTGCTGCGGATTGCTGGAGAAGAAGCAGGAATCTTTTGCATGTCAGGCAGATGGCTCTGAGCACTACGACCTTTATGCGGAGGCAAGCCTCTTCAGAGAACCATAGGCCCTGAATTTGAAGGTAATCTAGATAAGCCCTGATCCCTGACTGGAGGTATCCGTCACCACAATGTTGGTAGGAAGAGGTGCACACTTTAAGAGGGTCTTTCCATCAGTTTAATGAGGTCAGGACTTTTTGTGGGACCGTGACCAACATGTCCATGTGCTGCTTGCTGGGTAGATACACTGATTTCAACCACCCTTCCATAGAACACAGGAGAAAAAAGCCAAACAGCATCACATAGGTGCATGAGATCATAGGTCCGAAAAGTCTGAGTCATATTTTCACTAATGTTCTTGGGTGATCATGAAGTTGATTGATAACTCAGATGAAAATTATCTTAAAATGCTTATAGATCAATATCCTAACAGATAAAGCACAAGATAAGCCATTAGTTGGTGTCTGCTATAAACCACCAAATCACACTAGGGAATAGGATAACTACCTCATTATGCACCTATATGTAGTTTTAGGTGGGGGAAGTAGTGTGATAATGGGGGAACTTCAGCTTGAGTGACATATGCTGGAGGTCTCATGTTGCCAGTACTAAAAACATCCTTGGAATTTCTAAATATTATAGATAATTTCCTAACTCAAAACATGTTGCAGCCAACACAAGTGAATTCTTTATTAGACCTCATCCTAACAGACGAAGAGGAACTGATCAGAGAACTAAAAATTAATAGTAGCTTAGGTACAAGTGATCATGACTTGATCACATTTATCATGTGCAATCAGAATAAAGTCCATACCAGTAATACATATACTTAGTGCTTTAATAAGACCAATTTCACAAAGCTGAAAACAATTATGAGCCAAATCAGGTGGGAGGAAGAATTTAATCATAAAAATTTGAATGATAATTGCAAATCATTTAAGAACACCTTACTAGATGCCCAAAAAGCTATATACTCACAACTGAGGAAGAATGCCCTGCTGGCTAAAAAAACAACCTGGTTTAGAAGGGAAGTGAATGCAGATATAAATAAATAATACATAAGTAAAAAAGGGGGAAGTTGATAGTAATGAATATAAACCAGAAATCAGGAATTATAGAAAATTGATAAGGGAAGCCAAGGAACACAAGGCCAAATATATGGCTAGCAGAATTAAGGCACCTGATGCTGAGGGGTCAGTACCAAGAGAAGCACGATCCGCAGATATAGTGACACCACTTGTGTTCTTTTAGTGATTTGTATCAGGGCACCAGAAGAGGCCTTCTCAGTCTTCTGGCCCTTGGAAGATTGAACCTGAGACAAGTTAGAAGTCTGATGATTCTTGTGTCTTAGCTTTCTAGGTGCCAGAGACTATAATCTGATCCTTCACTCATGCTTAGAGTGGTGCTTCTTTCTGCCCTTGTCAGAAGACACAAGTCCTTGAATAATAGTAGATGAATGGGGCCTTTAAGTAGAGTGCCCCAGGAGCTCAGGATGGGGTCTTGGCTCATCAGGCACTAACAGACAGAAACTGACCAGGCTTGCATTGATCTCTCAAGGAGGCAAACCTTCAGGTGGGCTTCTTTAACTCTCAGTGCTCTCAGAAACAAATGGCTCATAGCTCATGGACATGTCCCTCTCCAAGGTAGAGTAGGCACCGGCAGTGCCACTTGTTAATAGGCATCAAAGCATCAACAAAGGACTGGTCTTGAATCCTGGAGATTTAGTTTCTGCCATGCTGCTAGCTTGCATGGAGGAGAATAGGGGTCTAGTCTTACTGAAACATAACAAAGATGCAAATTCCTATATTTATATAGTTAATTAGCTAAACAAAATAAACAAACTGATTAACAATAATCCTAAATAACTCCAGCACTGAGCATAGAGAAAAGTCAGGCATCTCACTGTTATGGGTGGTAAGGAGGAACTGAGCGATGATTGGCCTGCTCTGCCCTTTATGTCTTGGGGAGGGTCACAAGGACATATACGGCACAGTTGCAACTGAAATAGACACTGCTGGCCAACAGAATCTGATCTCGCATGCATGGGGCACATGCGCATGAAGAATGGAATCCATGTGCATAATCACTTGAACAGAAAAACTTCATAAATAAAATACATTTTTAAAATCCCAATTCAGAAAGGGTCGGATCCCAAGGCCTTTGACATAAATGGAAAGACATATTAACCTGAGTGTACTGTGGATCAGGCCCTAAAAGAAAATATACTGATTTCTCCTCCTTGCTGCTTAGGTGACAGCAGAGGAAGCACTGAGAGTCCAAGAGCCAGTCTCATTGTTCTCAGTTCCAGTGCCTGACACCAGAACAACATCTGTCAGTGGAGAGGAGCAATTACAGAAAAAGTCCTTCTTGGCCCCTGCAGCCCCAGAATGAGGCATGCTGTTGCTCTATGGGGAGCTCTATAGTGCTGTGAGGAGATGGTGCAAATGGAACCTCCTGTGGAATAAGGCTCACAATATAGCAAGCAAACCTCTACTAAACATGTACCAATAGATTTTCAGAGGCTTGTAACTTATCTAGAGACAGCAAAAGGCACATCCTTAACACTAGGGCAACCTATCAAATCCCTGCTCCAAACCATGGAGGCACTAGAGCTTTTCAGTTAAACATTTGTAAGAATATTTTAACATGAATTAAAAAACGGTTACTCACCTTCTCGTAACTGTTGTTCTTCGAGATGTGTTGTTCATGTCCATTCCAAGCAGGTGTGTGCGCCTGGAAGATTTTACTATAGCAGCGTCCGTAGGGTTGGCTTCGGCGCCCCCTGGAGTGGCGCCTTCATGGCGCTGTATATACGGGCCAGCCGACCCTCCACCCCCTCAGTTCCTTCTTGCCGATACTCCGACAGAGGGGTAGGAGGGTGGGTATTGGAATGGACATGAACAACACATCTCGAAGAACAACAGTTACAAGAAGGTGAGTAACCGTTTTTTCTTCTTCGAGTGATTGTTCATGTCCATTCCAAGCAGGTGACTCACAAACCCGAATCTAGGCGGTGGG